GTATTTATAATGATATTAATAGTAACAATACTAACAGTAACAGTTTCTTCATACATCGTGCTGAAAATACATATCAGATGTTAATAATGCACATACATCCAAGTTTAAAAGTCAATAATTTAAATAACATTTAAAATTCGATCATCTGTATAGCTAAATTACACCAAACAAGATGCCTGGAGCCATAAACGTATGATGCACCGGTAGTTATCTCATGATAACTCTTCAAAGTACAGGAATAAAATCGAAGGATAAAGACTGAAAAAACAGTCAACAGCACGGATATTATTATTATTATCATAATTATCATTATTATTACTATTATTCCAATTTGCAGTAAATTTAACTTAATGTACTGAGCTTCTTTGATTAGAAAAGATATAAATGCAAATTCAAATTTTGTTATATTTACTGTACAAAATGAATTTTTTGGATTGAGTTTCTAAAGTTGATAGATCTCCCCATCGACAAAAGTGCTCTCTGTTATAAGGAGAAGGATAACAGTTTAAAAAAAGTAGAATTTAATTAAATGTTATCATTATTTTGCGGACGAAAGAACTCTCAGAACTTAAAACTTTCTTACATCTCTGGTAACGACGTCCATGGCACCCACTGCTCTTGTCTCTGACAGGATCCTTCGAGCCACGTCGCTCTCACAGCATTCCAGTGGTGTTTGACCTTTGTTATTTACAAGCTTTGTATCTGCACCGATATCGAGCAATATTTCCAGTATTTGTTTCAAAGTCTCCACCTGTTTATCCCCCGGCGTAAAAGTCACAGCCAAATGAAGAGGAGTTTCTCCTTCAAAGTTTACGGTATTCACATCACACCCTGCATGTAAAATTAGCTTTGTGGTTTTAACGCAGGGAGGCTTGCACACAATTCCCGTAGTTTTTGCATCAAATGCCGCTAGATGCAGTAATGTATTTCCATCGCGGTTACGAATGTCCAAACGCAGAATTCTTTGAACATAGTTGATTATTTCTTCCATTTCATCCTCGTTATCCTCTAAAACTTCAAATTTGGTGTATATCAGTAGAAGATTTAGAAAACAGTAAAGAATTTTTTCGTTTTCCTCATTTTCTTGCCCCTCTTGTAATTTCCCAGTCTCTAGTTTTTCTGTCAGTTTTTTGAATACTGCCTTAATGTGTTTTCCATTTGAGCACCGTTGTTCCAGGGCCGTCAATATAAATAGCCATGGTAACATTTGAAGCTCGTACATAATAGGTTCATCACAGTTCATGGCTATTTCCATCGATCGCTTATACAGACCAATACAAGGTTCGTAATGCTCAGAGTCAGCTAGAACAGTCCCATAGGATCTGATATCCTTCAGAAGTGCTGCAGAGTCAATTCCAAGGAGTCTCTCCTTGATCATGAGACCCTCCATGTGGATTTTTTCCATGTGGATAGCATGGTTATCATCTTTTAACAGAGAAAGTTCCTCAAGAGTTTGACTCTCTGTTCTATTTTCATAATCTTCCACAGGTTTTATGTTCTTTTTAAGCAATGGACATGACGGGTCCTGATACCTCTCTTCCATTGCACGCTTCATACAACTGAATGCTTCTTCGACGTCATAAGAATCAGGATTATTTGCAATAGAGGAACCAAGAAGTTCGAGAGCGTTAATTTTTTGTTCCTTGGTACATTCGGGTCGATTGATGTAATACTCGACCATTTCATATTTGCTTTCATTACTGGCTGCTAGTAGTGGGGTCAAACGTTTCTTATTTTGCCTCTCTTTTACTCCAAGAGAAAGAAGCCTACCGACAACTTCGGTGTGACCTTTTTCTGCAGCATAGTGAAGACATGTGTCTCCAGTCTTGTCTTGCAAATGGTGATTTGCGCCATGTTCGATTAGATAGGAAGCAACATCCATGTGACCATTGTAACATGTTATCATCAGAGGAGTACTCTCAGATTCATCTCTTGCATTTACATTAGCTCCGTTCTTAGCCAAACAACTAACAATATCAAGATTTCCATTGCAAGCAGCAGCCTGCAAAGGAGTCGAATTTGATGCATTTCTGCCGTCTACGTCCGCCTTGTGATCGATTAACAATTTCACAATATCTAGATGACCAGTAGCAGCAGCGGAGAGCAAAGGAGAGCAACCTTCAACGGCTTCGTCGGTGTTAACTTTCACAGTTCTTCGTTCTTCAACATCTGCTTTAAAACTCAAAAGAATCTTTACAGAGTCTAGGTTTCCATTTCGAGAAGCAATTATGAGGGGAGTTGTATTCTCGTCGCCATCTTTGGTCTTGGAATCGAGAGCAGTTTTCCTTTCTTCACTGTTAAGCCGCTTTAAATGATTAGTCAGATCAGAAGAACCATCACGAGCAGCTTCATACACTTTTTGCATCGTGGATTGCTTATTACCCATTTTTCGCTACACTTAAACGGGACTTTCCGTTCCCTCCAAGGTTTCCATGAAAGAAAATACATTATGGATGAGAAAAAACAAACAGAGCTTTTTAACGTCGCAACCTCTCCTAGACAAGCCTTTTTAAACTCTACCGTCACGCCAATGTATGTACTAATCAAATACAAAGAAGCCAATGTTTCATTCCCATTCCTTTTGAAAAAGAGGTAGTCATTTCCTCATCTGGACAAAGGACACGAATACAAATTATTTTCGTAATTGTTTAATTTCAGTTACAACGAATTCCCGCTGGTGTTAGACTGTTTTTCTAAATATGCATGGTCAACAATGAATTTCGCAACCGCATTACGCTAAATTTCCACAAGTTGTCAATCATTCATCCTTTCTGGGAAAACAAGAAGTCCAAAGCGTATCTTCCGTTTCGAGGAGGGGACGAAGAGAAATTCAGTGATATGTTACATTCATTCCATGTTTATTCGCGCGTGAATTGGAATCTTTTTAAACAATTCATTTTTTATTTAGTTCTGTTCACGAGGGTTTGCGACATATTGGAGGCCAGTTGCACTTCTTGTATGCATTGTTGTTAGATTTCTTCATCAGTTTACCGTCAAGTTGTTCGGGACATCCCGTCGATGGTAGAAAACGGAGCACAAATATAAAGCTCTTTAAAGCTAGCTTTCCTCTTTGCTATGTTTTGATGCACCATATCACACTTCGTATCACTTATCTTACTGTCACATTTTTTTCATTTTGTTGAAGTTGGTCACGAAAGGTAGGCGTAAATGGGATTGTTCACTTCTTTCCTTTTGTTCTTTAATCAGTCCACTGTTTTACTAGTGCCAGGAGCAAGTAGTGCCCTTAGCTAGTTCAGTATCAAAAAGCTGTTTGCATTCTTCAAGGGCATGCTCAGTTCCCAGTCTACTAAATTAATCTGTGGACGGCTCATTCCAGACCATCGTTGCAAGAGACTAGCAAATTTACGCAGTTATTTAGGAAAATTGTAACGAGTGTAGTGAAATTGTGGAATGAATTACCAACAGACATGAAAGTTCCTGCGATGCAAAACATGTTCGAAGACCAGGAGTAATCAATTGGGCTGCAAACTAATTCCATTTTTATCAAAGGCTCCGTTTTGAAGATCTGCTATTCGCAAACGGCAATAATATTATTTATTTATTTTATAGTATTTTTATAAATAAAACTTGTCTCACTAACTGCTTCATAGAGGACTGAGCACAGCGAGAGTAAGACCATAAGCAAAATTATACTGAATTCTCGAAAATGATTGGTTATCACCATTCCAATTTGAGCACTAACAGGACAGTGTAAACGTCATGCTTATAATTGGACAGTGTAATCAGTGCACGCGTTACGCCTGTTTATAAAATGTTCAGAGAATTGCGCGCGCAGCGATTGGTCAGAACGATTTCACTATAAATCCATAAAGCACGCGCCTTACGTCACACGAGTGCACTGTTGAGATACACTGCACACAGCCTACGTCATCGGTACATGCGCGCGCAATTCACGATACATTTTATAAAAGAAATTAAAAAACTTGTTCCGCGAGCATTGTTGAGTTATATAGGCACTTGGGAGTTTTTAAGAACACTCGAGAAGTGCGAAAAGCATTAATAGGACCGAGTGGAGTCCAATTCGGTCTTTCAAACTCGAAAGGTGGTGTTTGATGCAACCACGCTAAGTATGAACTGTAAGCAAGTAGTTTTTGTGGATCAAAATTCGTGTATTAAAGATGAAATCGAACGAGAGAGGTCGAGTAAGTCCCAAGTAAACCCCGAGGTGTCGTCAGGTTACTCCGAAAGTTTCCGAAAAGTCACAGGCTTACTTTCTTACAAACCGGATAGCAGAGTAGTTAATGGCCTTTCCATTTTTTTGTTAACCACAAAAACGATCTTCGACGTAGCCTGCGTGTAGCCGTACCTTCCCCTCCCAAGGGTCAGAGGGTGGGGGAGGGGGAAGGAATCGGCTACACGCAGGCTATCTTCGACGCCAACAGCTCAATCGACGGTGAGAATGCCCCACTGGATTGAAAACAATGGAACGGGAGGCGGGTCTCACCATCCTTATGCACCATCATGTTACTATATTTAGAATAGTGTTTTCATATAATCCCCTGGGTATCAAATATTCAATCCTATTCACACGGGCGGCGGAACTCTTAACACTCAGCCTGTAGCGTTACCCATCTGAAGTCGACATGAAGTACACTGTGTTTCTAGTTGCTGTATTTTTCAGCTGCGCTTTTGGCATAGACACCGTTCCCTCTTTGAATGTGACAAAATATCTTGGTCGCTGGTATCAGGTAAAGCTGTGTACTGTGATGTTCATGATTATGTAACTGCATGTACAGCTTGTGGACTACTTTGAGGGACGAAGTCTTTTTCAACGCAACGCTTTTCAATGTTTTAACTGTGCAATAACGTATGTCAAAAACATTTTAGGATTGTATTGTGCATAAACGATGACGTTTAAAACCCATTTATTCGCACAGCATGACATGGCCGATACAAGCCTGTATGAAGGTTACAAACTTGTCGAATACATGCGTATGACCCTATGCTCTGCAGGGAAACAAAATGTCAACCCAAAAATACTGCATGTTCCATACAATAGACATTGAGCACTAGTTTGCAAAAAGCCGTCGTTTGATATGTACTTTCGTCTGATGTGTAAAGGCCAACAGGAAGTTAACAAGGCCTATTTACAGAAAGGTAATTCTTTACAGTATTTATTCGGCAGTGATAAGTGGAATCCAGGTACTGTAGTCAAATTCTGGCGAAAGATTAAAGTATCTGTGTTCATCAGCAAATACTGCTCGTTTTTCTTCTTTGAGCAGTGTTATGTAATAGGCTAGTAGTCACGTTAAAGCGGATCGTAAATCTTTGATTCACGTTTCTTGCGTGCGCATGCACATCACGCGATTATTCTCCCTAGGGTGTAATAGAGTGAAATTTTCTCATCAACACCTTCCCTTTGATGTCCTTTCAATTTCACTTTCTTTATTTTTGTTTTCCCTGTGTGTGAACAGATGTACGCCGACCCCGCAGTCATGGCAACTTCTGAGCGTAACGCAGTTTGCGTGACAGCGGATTGTAAGTGAACATTCGTACTTGAAGAGATTGCCTAGCATACCACTGGTTACCAAAGCCCAATTTAAAATTGTTTTTACCAAAATTATTTTCAGACTCACTCCGAAAAGATGAAAAAATAGGAGTTCTGAATAGAGGGAGACTCTACACACCGACAGGAAAGGAAAGCAGCATCACTGGGTATGCCTACATGACCGACCCTAAAGAACCAGGAAAGCTAACACTGCATCTGGACGGCGTACCTTTCCTCGGTTCATGTAAGTGTCGACGACGCTAAGCTATTACGAAAAGAAAGGGATGCAGCGTTTCCCTTGAACGTAACATACATGGTTAGTCTGAGGTGGGAGGGAACGATCCGAACTATCATGAACGTGAACGAACGAACGAGAGAGACTGGGGATCTCTGAATACCGCAAGACAGCAAGCAATGATTACAAACAACTGCACTAAAAGCCGGTTGCAAAACATCGATATCGCAATGTCTTTTATGCTTGGGTACTGTAGCCTGTGCTCCAGTCGCTAGCATACCGATGCGAGAAGGTAAAAAAAAAATGAAATCAATAATGTATTTACTGAGAAGCAAAAGCTAACGGATGCATTTTCTTCCTAACAGATTGGGTTGTAAAATTAGGACCACCTACGTTTGGTGAAAAAGGTCTTTACCAGTACTCTGTGGTCACAGATAGCAAGCAGATTATGTTGTTTGTGCTGACGAGAGACGTAGAAACATTCAAAAGCCAATATGATGAGGAAGTGAGAAGTTTTTTAAAGGAAAACGGCTTTACTCACTTCTACAACAAGCCTGTAGCCACATTACAGGACAAGAAATGTTTGTACGGAGCTGAAAAGCCTTCTCCGTATCAGACAGTGAAAGAATTTCTTCGATATGAATAGACATTTCGGCCACAGTTGTAGCTTTGAAGATGAAAAGAAATATAGCAAATAAAAAATCAAAGATGTGATTTGATACACCTCAGTCTAAACCACAATTCAGAGGAGAGGTCAACGTTATAAAACTTGATCTCGGTTTAAATGTTGATAAGACTCGTAGCCACGAAACGTCAAAGTTATCATTTGAAAAGATTTGGTACACTCTATCACAGCTATCATAAAAATTCCGCTTACAGCAATTAAATCATTATTTAATTCGCTCTTGATTTACGATAATCTCTTGCAACTACAGACACTACTGCCGTCGATGTAATAAAAATTTCAATTTTTCACAAGTGTTTACATTAAAAATATACGATAAATAATTCAGCCAGTAGGCTTTAACTGTCCCCCCCGGCTTCTTCTTTAACTCCAAGGTGATGTTTAATGAAACGATGTCAAGTATGAATTATAAAAAAGGAGTTTGAATCACTCCCGAGGTGTTTTCCACAGTCTCACTTCGTCAGATTGCTCCGAAATCTTCCGAAAAGCCGCTGACAGACATACGTACTTATACATACAATAGAAGAGTATTTACTGGATTTTGAAATACCTACAAGCACGCTATCGGCTCAATGATCAGGGAAAATGCCCCACCTGGTCCCAGTGGATTGAAATTTTAAAAAAATACAACGGGAGGCGGGCCGCACAGTCACTGCTACATGTTACCTTATTTAGACATAGTGTTTCGTATAAACCTCAGAGTGACCAATCTTGTGTTCTTTTCACACTCGCGCCGTAACCATTTAGAAGTGCTTGGCTTGTAGCATTGCCGTTCAGAAGTCGACATGAAGTACACTGTGTTTCTAGTTGCTGTATTTTCCAGCTGTGCTTTTGGGATAGACACCGTTCCCTCTTTGAATGTAACAAAATACCTCGGTCGCTGGTATCAGGTGAAGAATGTGTGTATGTACCGTTTTGGTGTTAATGATTACGTAATAGGTAAAGCTTGTAGGATCGATATCTTGAGGTAGTAGGCTCTGTTATGCAACTTCTTACCCCGATTTTTTTCTCTGTAATCATGTATATTTTGCAACTTTTGAGTAGAATTTATCAGGCCGTTTAACATTTCCTTCAAACATGTTAAATCGCGCAGCACGAGACGAGCCTGAATGAGGGCCATAGAAGACAACTTGTTGAACATGACCTTATACGCTACAGCGCAACTGAAGGCAACTAATTACTTTTAATAAAATCCTTTCATGTTCCATACCTCAGACACTGACGCATGGTTTAACGGTAACCCGAGGCACAGTACTTTTTGTGTAGCGCGTAGTAACAAGGCCTTTATACAAAACAGGAAGGAGTTGTTTACAATAATTGTACTGCATTTATAGATTCTAGACTTATTAAAAACCTCAGAGCTCATTTGCAAGCGCTGCTAGTTTTTTGCCTTCGAGCAGAGTTATGTGATGTCATGGTAGTTGAAGGCTGCCGGGATGTGAAGATGTTCTTTTAAAGGTAGACCCAAGTATATGAAAGCACATGATATACCGTGCTCTATTACATCACGCGATTCTTGTAATGAATTTTTCATGTTGGTTTGTGCTAATATTTCATAAATGCTGTTATATTGACGTCTTGTTTTTTTTGTTCTTCCTGTCTCATTTTCTGCGTTTAAATAGATGTATGCCGACCCCTCAGTCATGGCAACTTTTGAGCGTGACGCAGTATGTGTGACAGCGGATTGTAAGTGTAAATTTATGCTTACAGACTGCATATAATATAAAAGCATACCACTGGAAACAGAAGTCCAATTTTTTATTGCTCTTACTGCTAACACTTTAGATACACTTGAGAAAGATGGAAAAGTGGGCGTTCTTAACAGTGAAAGACTCCGTACACCGACCGGAGAGGGAAAGAACATCACGGGTTACGCCTACATACCCGACCCTAACCAACCAGGGAAGCTCAAAGTTCATCTTGGAGGAGTACCTGTTGACGCTCCGTGTAAGTGTTTGTCAATTCGAAGCTGTCAGGCAAAGCAAGTAACCTGTCACTTTTACACCACAGGTTTGACGTGGGAGGGAACGATTCTAACAATCATGCTGTGCAATCGCACAAAATTTCCTTGTCCCTGCTTTTCTTTAGTTTTTTCTTTACTGTACTTTGTTGATGACGGCCACTCCCCCTCACTTCCTGCTGAGAACCATGTCACCCACCCCGAAAGCCATGTCCTTCCCCAAAAAATTTTTCGTCATTCCCCCATCTCTTGGCAATAAATATAATGAATGTTTTCTTAACAGATTGGGTGGTAAAACTAGGACCTCCTACTTTTGGTGAAGGTCTTTACCAGTACTCCGTGGTCACAGATAACTTACAGATTACCCTGTTTGTGCTGGCAAGAGACGTAGACACATTCAAAAGCCAATATGACGAGGAAGTCCGCAATTGGCTGACAGAAAATGGCTTTACTCGCTTCTACAACAAGCCTGTAGCCACCTTACAGAACAAAGAATGTATTTACGTTGCTGAGAGGCCCTCTTCTCATCAGACAGTAGAAGAATTTCTTCGTTATGATTAGACGAGCGTCGTGACTTTTGTGGATAAGATGACGAACACCTATTAAAAGTCCAGGTTCTGATTTGATTTGCATAGTCTTATAATAGTCTTATAATAGTCTTGCCTCTACAAACACGAGTGTAATCAAACTCTCCGTTCACGCTAGCCTGCGAGAAGGCGCTCATTTTAAGCGCTTCGACACAAGCGTTTCTTCGCTAGCAGAAAGTAATTCTTTCTCGTGGGCAAAGAGAGTATGTTTCAGACCTTGAGCCACGCGAGCCAAGTTGTGAAGCTCTCCATGTGAGAAAGGCGTGTCTTATAGCTCTATCAACGAAGGCTCG